GTTCAGCTCGGGTGGAGTCTTAGTAAGAATATCCCCTCCTGGGCAGAGAGACTCGATCACCCTCTGGCTGTCTGGAGTGAGGGCGCTGTAGAAGTTCCCCACTGTGAAAGCATCACTGAAGCCATGATGAGGACACTGCCAGAAATATCCCATGTACCATCCCATGCATCACGAAGTGACTCATCTGGCTCTTGGCGGAAGTGAGTGATCTCCCGCTGAATCTCTATGGTCTTCGATGCCGGATAGTACCTGTGCACGAACTTATCTGCCAGATCGTCCCAAGAAGTGATGGACAATGGGGGCTGGGTCTCCAACCACCTCTTAGCATTCCCCGCCAGAGAATGGGGGAAGAGGTGAAGGCGGATTGCGTCATCCGGGACACCGTTCAGCTTGAACCCGTTCGTCAGCTGCAGAAAACGGGAAAGATGTACCCGGGCCTCCTCATCCTTCAAGCCATGGAACTAGATAGAGGATGTAATGAGTTGAATCCAGCATGGCTTGATCTCGAAGTTGTTTGCAGGAATGGGCGGATAGAGGATGACCGGGCGGATGTCAGCAATCCGTGGAGTGTAGTAACACTCAAAGGTGGGACCCGGTGGTGGTGGATGATGATGGACCCCAGCTGCCTGGGGATTGGAGTCGTTCCCCAGGAACTGGTTCTCCTGAGGGGGGTTCTGATCACCTTCCATCTCGTACTCGTCCTCGGACTCGCTGCTCAATTGGCCGTCTCTGCGCTCCACCGTAGCCAGTCTAGCTCGCTGTTGTCTCCGAAGTTGGTTGCAGGTGCGTTCAATCTCTGGATCCAACGGCAGTAAACCTCTCGACTGGCTACGGGTCATGCACTATCTGCACACAATCAAGCACTGGAAACCCGTGAAGGCACAAGTGGGAAAGAAGAAACACTCAATGCGAAAATGAAAATGCTAAAGTAACAGAAATCACTTTTCTTCAACAACCTAGCCGTTCCCCGGCAACGGCGCCAAAAACTTGACTCACTCCTACTGTCACTCTAGAAAATGGCCAAGTGTAACCACTTCCTAAAGCGTAGTATAGCGGGTTTGGGTTTTATTGTCAACCCGGGTCCTAGATGTGATGACTACTCAGTGAAATCTCGTTATCTAGCAGTGGACTTTTAGTGCAGATTCAAGCAAACAAAAATACAAAGCAAGTTAAACGGTGGTTCCCCCTACACTGCAGTTAAGCCGGATTGCAATTTACCAAGTTCAGTTTTTATGAAAGTTATACTGCGGAAGGTTCTTAACTAGTCTGAAGTCTCGACTAAAGGTCTCCAGACCCTCTCAATCTGAGTCTCTAGCGGGCGACTAACCTCCACCAGAGTAAACAGATTGAGGCCCTAGTGAACCAAACCTCCACTACCGAATTGCGGTACAGAATAGCGAATTGGCTCCTCGACTAAAGTCACCAATTCGCCACCTTCGATTAAGGATACTCTATCAACCTAGGCAGATATTCTCATTCTAGGTCAAAGCAGAAACAACAGGAATTTGATCAGGATTCAAGTCATTCAATCATTCAAACCTCAATCGAATATAATCAATTCACAAACTTTATACTTGGGTTCATACAATCAGACCTAGCATACAAATCTAGGGTTCCCTATACCCAGATGAATGGGGGAACTACTCCATAGAGAAAGAAGCAAAAGCAGATTCAGACGCGGAAATCATACTGTGAAGACGGATTTATGCTCCTGGACGTTTAATCAGCACTTCTCCAAGCTCAAGCCGGGCTCCAATGGTGATGAAGATCAAGCTATGGCACTTGGGAACTCTGGTTCGTCGCTTTCTCTCTCTAGGAATCGCTTTCTCTCTCAAAAACTCGGAACCCTTCAATGTTGGCCTTCCTTTCCCTTAAATCAGCTGCCTGGTCGCGATACCCGGTCGAAATACCCGGTCGGGTATTTTGGATTTCGACCGGGTATAATCAAAACGCGCCGCTTTGGTAAAGGGAAAATCCCCGGTCTGATCCAATAATCCCCGACCGGGGATTTTAGCATTTTGCCCGGGCCCCTCTCTGTTTCTCGGGCGCCCAAAAATAGTGAATACCCGGTCGGGTATTTGGCCACCTGACCGGGTATTTTCTTCCTGCGGCTTACTTTGTCCCAACTTCGCTCCTTTCGACCCAGAACTCGCTCATCCGCCTCGATTCCAACGCCGGGACCTGAAATATGACATAAACACACACCCTAGCGTGAAATCGGCTTAAAACACTAGAATCCACATCTCAAACGGCTTCAGAATGGGGTGAAAACATGTGTAATTATAGGTCTATCAGTAAACTAACACCATAAACCAAAATTATTTATTTTATTTATTTTTCTTCTCATTTTCCAACCTCGTTGTCGACTTTGCTAGTCCACTACCGACTGACACCTTTTTTTTAACTTGAATTAAGAAAACATATGATTTCTTTTTTAAGACGGTTTGAATGATTTGTTAGATATTTTGGTGATTATATAAATTTAAAATTATTTATGGTTAATGATAACTTCATTCTTAAATTAGTTTATTATACAAGTATTGTATGTTATATATTAGAGCTCACTAACGGTTAATCAGTGAACCCTAAACTAGGGGTGGGCAAACGGTTCGGTAAACCCGAACCGAATCGAACCAAAATTGAATTAAACCGAACCGAAACCGAATTAATGCTATTCCGTTCGAAATTCGGAAGGAAAATATGGATAGTTCGGAAATCAGGGTTCTTTCAACCGAACCGAATTTCCGATCGAAAAACCGAAATACTATAATTGCAAGCTCCAAATGGTGGATTTTTATGTTTGTAGTTGTTTTTAGACTTAAATATTTGAAATTTTTTATGACTTATGTGTTCAAAAGTTTGATTTTATCATTGATGATGCATATAATTGATATTTATTGTTTATATTAGGGGTGAAAAAAAATTTAAAAGTGAGAAAATACAAGTAGCTTCACAAATTCAGTTTTGACTGAAAAATCGAACCAAACCGAATTATAATTTGATTTAAACTGACCGATCCGAATTATAATTCGGTTCGAATTCGGTTTGAGAAAATTCGGGAACCCGGTATTCATAATTTCGGTTCGGTCGAAACCGAACCGACCGAATGCCCACCCCTACCCTAAACTACTATTTTTTTTTCCGGTTCGGTTAAAACAAAGGTCTTTCCTCTCGTGTCTCTCTCACAAAACCCACTTGTAGGAAGACTAGACTGTACAGGTGACAAAATGAGTACGTGTCCTCAAACACATCCTTCCACGTGGCCAGGTATCTCCAGTCCGCACCGAGGAAGTCTGGCAGGTTCAAGCAACCGCCATTCCCCACCCCGCCGCAACCCTCCAGTTTTACCAGATGACCCAGGGGCCAGGGCCCAGACTTAAAATCTCTCTCCCGAAATCCCACCTTGTCTTCGTTTTTCCATTTTCCGTTGTTCAAACTTGCAAGAAACCCAATCTCAACAGTCCAGGACCCATCAATTTCTTCCGAATTGCCAACAATCGAAGCAAAGCGAAACAGAAAGGAGGAACCCCCAAAGCAATAATCGACCAAAGTTTGAAGCTTCCTACCCACTACAGCTTTTCCTTTGTGTTTGTCAAGCTTCCAAGTTTCAGTCTTTTTCTGTTGCTATAATTGGAGAAGATTCAATCTTTCTGGAGAGAGACATAAGTAAGTCCTCAGAAATTGGAGGAGCAAGAGAGAGGGATAGAGAGATCGAAGATGGGGAGTTTGACTCTGACTCCATGGCACCCTTCACAGCTCAAGCCCTCTGGGTTTGAGCAGAAGGATGCGTCTCTTTTCCCCTCTAGAAGGAAACTCAAAACCAGCAGGAACAATAAGAAATTCTCCGTTTCCAGTCCTGTAAGTTGCCTTGCGCCTCCTCCTAATTTCTGATTTGGGGCTTTTCTCCTTGTCCCTAATTGAAACCCTTTTGAATTCTGATTATGGGGGTTTGCACGTACCAGGTGGCTAGGCTATTTGGGCCATCGATCTTTGAAGCGTCCAAGCTGAAGGTGTTGTTTTTAGGGGTTGATGAGAAGAAGCATCCTGGCAAGCTGCCAAGGACGTACACACTAACCCACAGTGATATAACCTCCAAACTCACTTTGGCCATCTCTCAGTCGATAAACAACTCCCAGCTTCAGGGATGGGCCAACAAGCTGTACAGAGATGAAGTGGTGGCCGAGTGGAAGAAGGTGAAAGGCAAGATGTCACTCCATGTTCACTGCCACATCAGTGGTGGCCATTTCTTACTAGATCTCTGTGCTAGGCTCCGATACTTCATCTTCTGCAAAGAACTTCCCGTGGTAAGACTCATCAAATCAATATAACCCACATGGCAAATTTGGAAAATCTTTCTTTTATGATATCTGAAGCAGTGAAGTTTGTGTTTTTGGCAGGTGCTCAAGGCCTTTGTTCATGGGGATGGGAATCTGTTGAACCACTACCCGGAATTGCAAGAGGCATCGGTGTGGGTTTACTTTCATTCCACAATTCCAGAATTCAACAAGGTTGAGTGCTGGGGCCCACTAATGGATGCTGCAGCACCTCCTTCAAAGAGAAGGACCGGTGGTGGGACTCAGGCGGGTCCAGAGGTGGAAGGAGAAGAGAAGGGAAGGTCATCAAGCAATTGGGGGTTGCCAGAGCCATGCCAAGAAGATTGCAGCTGTTGTTTTCCACCCATGAGCATGATCCCGTGGTCTCAAAACTTTCCCTTTGCTTCTCAAACTCAACAACCGGGCGATTCCAAGACAGCGGTCCAGGAGGAGGGCTTGCAGCAGCAACCTTAGAGTTACACATTTGATTCGTCTCTCTGTCACACTTGTAAATAGTGAAATTTAGAGGGACTCGGAATCAGTTGACCCTCCCTTCGTAATGTTGAAGCGGGAAAGGGTGGGACGTTGATCAATCTTTTCAACCAATAGCTGGTTTTTTTGTGTGGGTGTTATGACTCCATTTTGGAGTGCAAGATGACAGATCTACTAGGTATCCCAATTGATAGGACACTATAATGTACTCTCTCACGCTTTGTATAGTAGATTGGCTACTTGTCTGTGTATATATTCCCAAAAGCTATCGAAGTATGTTGTCCCGAAGAGACTGATGCAGATTCAAAAAGCTACCGCAGTGGGATTGGTGATTTTATATATATACAGAAACGGCCAAGAATCCGATAATTGGTGGAGAAATTCTTGGCGTGATATACATGGCGGGTCTATCAACAATGATAGTTTACAAAAAATGACAGCATGATCAAACTATACATATATACAAAACAGGAGAGTAGCTAGTGACAAAACGGAAGTCACTGCAGCAGAATAATTAGCCTCTTCTCCACGAACACTTCCCATGAGTTCATTTCAAAAGTAGGAAACGTGCATTCACCGAATAGTTGTTCTTCCGAAGGATGACGCTCCTATCTCGCTATCAGTGTTCTGCAAAGCCAGAAACGTTGCACAAGTGTTAGGTGGTCTCCGTGGTAACGGGGCAGTCCGTGGTAGATGAATGACGTTTATCAACTTGATAGAGGCTTTACCTGGGATTTAGGGGAAGGGAACACGTTCCAGAACCTCAGTGTTTCGTCTCCAGCGCCAGTAACGATTGTCTGCAACAGAGACCATTATATCCGTCAACTGAGACTTAACTCAGTAACACATGATAACTGGTGCTACTGCATGATTGAAATCATTAGGTGTGGTTGGAGGGTTACCTGTCCATCCGGTGAGATAGCAAGATAGAGAACTCTGTATGTATGACCCGTGAGAGTTGCCAACTGTATCAGTCGACAAAGAGTGTTAAGTATGAACTGGATGAACATTCATCAATGGGTGGGAGGGGAACTAGGTGTTACCTTTGACATCGTTGGATATCTCCATACTATTATTTGGTTTTGGGAGTATCCATGAGTGCTCACAAGTTCATTTACGTTCTTAGACCATACAAGATTGCAGACCTGCCAAACGCAGAACACAACAGGTATACCAAGTATAAGAACTTGCTTTGTATCAAACTATTTCTGAACTCTTACGCAAGTGTAGGGATGCAAGTAAAGCATAACTTTTACCTGACTACCAGTGTCCATGCAGCTCAGGTGCGAATTAGTGGTCGTGTTCCAGAACCGTATGCACCGATCAGCAGTGCCACCACCAGAAGCAAGGAGACCATGAAGATGAGGAGACCAAGCTATTGCTTTTACAGCTGCTGTATGCTCGCAGTATTTTAGTACTGGCTGCGTCGAATGTTGGTTCCAAACAAAAAGCTGCCAAGAAGGATCTCAACAAAGTTAGGCCTCTCCCCAGGAAAAACGATAGATATGATAAGGTAACTAAATACATAATAGACACTTATGACACAAATCATCTTACCCTATTATCATTTCCACCTGATGCCAACTGACGGTTGTCATATGACCACTTTAGTCCACAGACCTGAAAAATTCACACTTCAGTATTAGGAGGGCACACCCAATGAGCATAATGATGAATATACATAGGATAACTTCATACGGCTGCAGCAGCAGTAAGAGACAGACCTCTGATTTATGACCAGAGAGTTTACTAACAAAGTCTTCAGGAGAGCGTATATCACGTTGCAGTATGCTCTTATCACGGCTACCAGAGGACAGCACAGATGAACTCCAAGCCAGGGCGCCAACACGCAATCGATGGCCCTCCATGTTTCTAATTTTCTTGCAACGAGATGCATCCCAAATCTGACAAATGAAGATTTAACTTTTGCATCAATGACAATCCTAGTAGGCTAGCCACCTCACAAGGCTAGACAATAAACTTCCTCCACAGGTTCCTTTAGCTCACAGTTCATCCCTGCAAGTTTCAACTCGATCTATTTCCAGCAGCTGAGCACCTCTTGTTAATGAGGCAACTGGTGCCTTATTATGCGATCTGAAAGCGGATGTTGCAATGTTCTACAACATTGAACTGGTAGCCTGAATTAGGGGCTTAGCCCCTTTGCTAAACTATAGTAGAAAACTTATTGGATCTACGTTTAACAATAAGCCTCGCTCCAGGTTATATGTGTCAGAACACCACACTAGTAAGGACGTTGGATAATTTCCCACCCTCGTGATATCCATAAAGGAACGAATATGCCGAGGGTAGCAAGCTGTGAGCAAATCTAGACGCCTTCTTCAAATCCTTTGATCCACTAGCTATATGATAACATCTCACTACTCAGTAGTAACAGTTAAAAGGACATTAGAAGGACAAGATCATTGGTCAAATAGTTAAGATTACAGCTCTACGTCCTACTTAACTGACTTCGTTTCCCCAATGTAAGTTACAGTACAGCTTTAAGTAAAACAAAAGCAGAGGGATCAATAAAAAGGCAAGCTTTAATCATGACTAACCTGGACTTTCCCATTAAAAGTTCCAACAGCGAGATTGTTCGTGCCACGCTGTGCCCATCCTACTGAACAAACACTGTCATCAATTCCTAAATCACACAACTTTGTCACCTGCATTTCACCAATTGTCACCACTTAATTAAATCCCTGACCTGATTCAAATTGGCAGTTTCATATATAATTTCCCTGCAATAGACTACTCAAAAGTTCTTATCTTTACCTTACTGCTGCAAGCATTCCACAAATACACACAATTACCCAACCCAACCGCTAGCACATTATGCGACGACCAATCTACTAAGTTCAAGTAAAAATCATCTTGCAATGCAGGCGCATCCAAAACCTGAAATTCCAACCAGAAACATCATAAGCCAATGGGGGAAAAACACCATTAAAGATGCCCAATAATATCAACCAAGAGTTGGGGCATTACCTTGTAAGGCGATCTAGGCACCTTTCTTGGAGCCTTAACAGGGCTCTGACTCACTCCAGGCCCTTCATCATCAAACCCATAAGGCGAAAACGACTGCATTGGCTGCCTCGTCTCAGTTCTATACCGGAAGATATTCCGCCCTCTGATTTCCCTCTTATCTGGCGTATTGGTGCCGAAGAGCGCATCCCGGAGAAGAGCGGCGTAAGCGCTGGGGGTTTCTTCCTTGCCGCCATCACTCCCCACTTCAGTAGAGATATTCGACACAGCGGACGGCGACGGAGTAGAAGGGATGTGGAAAAGCTCGAAGTTGGAACCGGATCTGCTCGGAATGAATCTATCGAAACAGATAGTCTTGGAAGGGGAGACGTAATGCTTGGAGTTAATGAGGCGCTTGACGTGCTCCGACGACGAAGCCGAGAACGAAGGAGTCGGAGCTAGGGTTTCAAGATTCAGGGACGGGCGTGGCATCGTGGAAGGGACATTGAGCTGCGAAGATGAGGACGACGACGATGGCGGCGGCGGCGGAGAGGGCAATTGGTGGTTGGTAAACGGCGAAAGATTCGAATCCCCCATAACAGATTTCCTCCCGACGGCACCGGCGAGCAATAATTAGTGAGGCGTTGGAGCGAGATTGAGAGTGTAATGGCGAAACAGGAAGAAAGAGGCAGAGTTGGGAAAGGGAGGAAAAGCAGAGCAATGGCCAATGAGGGAGATGGAGAGTTAGTTAGGGTTAGGCTAGGATGTGTGCAGGTACAGGGTAAATGTGTTGTTGACCGGTAGTTAACTTTCCCGGGGAAATTTTTCCGCGAACCAAAAGGGTTTGGATTCCTTACGGGACGAGGAGTGTGGTTTTACTCAGTATTCGGTTGGGCTTTTGTTTCATCCGTTGGGCAGCCCATGAAAATAAAGCCCATACAGCAATCCAACCCCTGAATTCTATTTTTCAGGAGAAAAGAAACGTTTCGAACATCCTCAATGCTAAACCAAGAATACATACTAGAGACCAAATACTGGAGAATGCTCATTGCCTTGCCTTCCTGTTCACCCAAGAATTACAAAAGAATATGATCACAAATAGATAGAATGATCCGACCAAAAAACAAGCAGAAAAGAATTCACAGTTTTCTTTCTTCCTTCCTTCCTTTCCCATCTTATTCAATCTCTGGAGGAAGGATTGTTACGAGGGACGAAATCATGCTCAAGGCTGGGAAGAGTTCTAGTACTACCAGCCACAGGAGTTCTAACATTCCCAACCACAGCAAACTGCAGATCTTCACCTTCATAACCCCTTCTCTCCATCTCCGCAATCCTCCTCTTCTTCTTAACCATCATACCAATGACCACCAGAACAGCCAACATCGCAACCAAACTCGCAGCCCCCACGGTGAACCCTACTACCATCTTCCGCTTGGTTGATATGCCTTTGCCTTTGCCTCCACCTCCACCTCCTCCTGCTACTGGAGCAGGAGCTGGTGGCACCATTGGAGGCAGCTTCACCACCAACCCATAATGGCCGTCCACTGTTGACTCACAGACTCGAGGAGAAACAGGCTGTGTCAAGCTCACCGTCCCACTCCTCTCAAATATGGCACAAGAAGAATTGTTGTGATCATTTGTAGTGTTGCTGAAACTGATAGTGATGAGGGGGCTTCCTTGACCAGAACGGATTCCAACCTCTAGAGGGTAGCTGGAATTGGGGTTGTAGCTGCTGCTGGGATTGTAATTATAGACAGTAAGGCCTAAAATTGGAGACACCAATTGGTACCCAGAGAGGTCATAGTTTGATGAGTAGAGGGATGACCAATTGAGACCCAAGTTCTGTGTGATCACCATCACTCTCAGAAAGCATGGCTGGACCTTTATGCCGCGCTGTAGTCTGACTCCATCGAACCGGGCGCCATACCGCCTCAGGCTGCCACACCGGAACCTCGCTGCATTCGCCGTGATCACACCACCATCAGAGAGGTTAGCCGGGATGTCTACATTGTAAATTTCCCCTGTTTTGATTCTTCTCCGGCTGCCAAAGGACTTGAACGTGTAGTCCCTAACGAGGAGATCCAGTTCCTCTGGTGATGTGACCATCTCCTGTGCTCTTGTTGATGTTGGTAGTAATGATAATGATAGGAGAATTACGATGAAGGTGAAGAAGTAAGAATCCGCCATTTTTACCCCTTCAAAATGTGCTGCGATTTCACCACAGCCGACCCAATTCTGCGAAAGTGCAGATACAGCATAATTGGTTATCAATGTGATGATTGCAAAAGGAATGAAGGGTTCTTTTTGTTTCTCTTTAAAGCTTTCAGCTTTATGAGTTGGAATCCAATTTTCAACTAGGAGAAAACCACAAGCAGAAAGAGAAGAAGAAGAAAAAGAACGTTTCGTACCGTTGAATCGTTCTAGCCTTCTCCGACCCATTTCTCTTTAGTCCTGAAAAAATCCTCCTCGGCTTTAGTTCTGGGCAATTGGAGTTATAAACGAATTGTTGCTTTTTCTGGGAAACTGACTCACCGAGTGGCAACCGAGTCAAATGCAGCAGTAGCCCTGAGTTGAACGCCGTTTTCCGCCGAGTCCCACCGCCGAGAATCCCCCCAAAACCCCGAGCTCAGATCTGTCTCCACTGCTCACGGCTCGTCCAACCAATGTCTTCGCCGCCGCCTCCTTCCGGTTTTCTCGCTCTACTATCCAACTGCGAGCTGCCGCCGCTCTCCGATCTTACTTTGCTCCAGCCCCTCGTCGCGACGGCAGCCAAAGGGAAGTCCTGCCTGCCTCTGTTGGCCTTTTTTCGTCGTCTTCTTCTTCTTCCTTTGTTGACGACGAACAACATAAAGGAAAACCCCCCTCTCTGCCGCAAAAGCGTAATTCCGTTCGAGGAAGGTCAATTTTTGGGCTCACTTTTCACATCCGAAGTTGCCTTGGATGGATTGTTTGTTTGATTCTTCTTTCTATTTTTTCCTCTCCACAAATCCGCCACTGCCTTTATCGTCTCTTGTTGTTGCAGTGGGGACGAATTTCCTTGGTTTCATAATCCGGCTAAGTCGCAAAATTAATGGAAAATATCTCTGCCTCTATCTTCCAAAACCAAAATAAAAAACAAAAACAAAAACAAAAAAAAGTAAAGCCTTGTTTGGCAGCTACTAATACTATCATGTAAAATACATATACCAAAAACTCAAATATAATTCATTAGTAAAAAGTAAAAACACGTATATATTTTGTAAATATGGCAATAAGAATGTATGTAATATCATAATGTACTAAATGAAGTGTTTGGTTTTGAAAGAATCGCCATTGATGAATTTTTAAATGTTTGCATACTAAATACATTTTAATAAGATTTGGGTTACAAACCTCGTTTTGCAAAATTTTACTTGCCGAGGTTTTGTACCCTATGCCAATATTGTATACCCTATCTTAATATTACGATTTTGAATAACTTTATTTTGACATTATAACAAAATATTTTAAATGGATGAATCGCTTTTTAATCAAAATTAATTGAAAATACTTGCCAAATGGTGTGAGTTTAAACCAAACTTCTAAATTGTTCTGCCTCACAATTATGCTAGATAATATAGAATTTGCATAGTGGAAAGACAATGTGTTTGAGTCATGGTTCATGAAACCATACCAGAAAAATTAGCGATATAATATTTTGTGGTAAAATCATAATTTAATAGTAATTCAACCATTAATATCGTTAAATACTATCTACCAATTTAACTTCGAATATTGATATTTTGTAGTTGAACCATATCATATGATACGGTTTCATAAACCATTGTTTGAGTTCTAGAACGGGACTGCCGCTTGTTCTCATTCGAACTTGGTCCCATTGATTGAAGCTGCTGAATAAATAAACAGTGAAAATGTCGGCTTCCTTGTTAGGTACAACAGTGGGGGAAGCTCCAGCTTGGCGAGCGAGAGTGACTGCCACTTGTGTTCATTCTAGGAACGAGAAGGACAAGCTTAATAATTTAGGTCCCCCCATTGGAAAATTGAAACCTTTCTTCTTATGATTTCAATCCAACCGGTTAGCTTATAAAGCTTGTTACTATTTTAATCATGAGTTGTAACATATAATTGTTTTTAGAATGGTAGTCATTGCTTTTTAGTTGTAGGATTATTGATCTTTACACGATGATAGTTGTAATCATTATATTTTGTAGTTGTAAAACTATAAGTCCAACACGATCTACTACAACACATGATTAGAGTATGATACTAAAGTTAGCATCAGCAACATTTTTAAGGCCTAGCACTCAATACTTCATGGTGCATCCGGGAACACAAAGTGGTGTAGCGAGGTTCGAACCTGAGACCTCACACATCTCAAATTCGAAGGACCACACTCCCGACCAACTCGGCTAGGTTACCTTTGGCGACACTATGACAACTATTAGCAAAATGGGAATTGAAAATATTGCCCACATTATTTTAATGAAGCTTTTGGTTCATGAAGCTTATAAATACATTAATTATGATTTATGATTTGTATTAGTATAATTGTAAAATTGTAGTTGTGGTAATTATATTGACAATTATAGCCGTTGTTTCTTTTTAGTTGTAGGAGTACAACTTCTACACAATTATAGTTTTAGTTATTAAATTTTGCAGTTGTAAAATTAAAACTCCAACACAAATTACTACGACTCATCGCACGCGATGGGCGGAGCTATCCTACATGAAATGTAGGTGTTGCGGTCATTATTTCTGCAACAACATTTCATTTTGTGCATAAAAGATATGATAGGGCTGTCCATTCCATGGCAAAAAGGCCCTTGTTGAATTGGTCTGTACACTTGTCGACCAACGTTTTTGTTTTAATTCCTTTTTTGTGATCTTACGTGTAAAGGTTTTGTATATTTCTTATTTATACGGTTCCCACCAAAATAGGTATAAAAAACTCTTATCACACTAGCATTTTCCCTTTATGTGTGTTAGTCTTTCTCACCAGTCACCACTAGACAATCGTTATTTGCAGTCGTTGCTCTCTCATTAATGCAAGTCGATTAAAATGAAGCATTTTTTTGCCATAGATATTCCGGAAAGGAATAAGCTAGATTTGAATAATACATAACATTTTCAGGTCGAAGTCAAAATGAAAGGAGATAAAGATGTTGGTCAACGAGTCGCTAAACCAATGATAAAAGAGCATGTTCTGCCACGATATGGACAGCCCTATTGTACCCATGCAAAGCGAAATGAAACGAAACATGTCGAAGATATGTTGGCATCACCTGAACCTCTTTCAAAATGGCACCTCCCAATACGTGTGTCGAATCCTTCGCGTTGACCATACGGATGAGTACATACGAATCACCCCAAAAGAAGACATTGAAATAGAGTGATTAATACACCAAAGCATGGCATCTCGTAGAGCTATTAATTCAAGCAGAAACGGGTTAGACTTCCGAGAAGAGTGTGATGTATCCCATTCCAAAACCTGATTATCAAACTGTCTCAGTTGGGCTTGCGACATGATAAGGACATGCTCATATGCTGCAGAACAACGACTCTTCCAGATTCTCCCATATAGAAAAACTAGTCTTGCAATGATCCTTTTGTCTAGACCCACATTAAAGAAAAGAAAATACCATCCAATTGCAATATGTCGAGAACGCACAACATTTAACAAGTGAGAATAATCAAGGGCGGACGACGGTCGGGCGCTGCTTGCGGCTGGAGATGGTGACCGGAAAGAAGTGCAAGGAGCAGCCTTCGGTGGTGATGCAAAAGAGCAGGAAGTTGGGGAGATTGTGGATACAAATATCAGATATGAGTTTAAATGCAGTGGTACAAATATCAGTGCAGTGGTACAATTTTTTTTAATGTAGTGATAGTGTGGTACATTTTTGCGCAGTAGCGGACCCAGACAATCTCTTTAGGGTATTCAAGAATATAACAAAAATTTAGTCCATGTTAAACATAATATCATCGTTTTGAACGACAAATCATACTTGTTTTCATATTGTTTGATTTTTTATATATCAATTATTTATGTTATGACTTGCACCTCTTTCGATAATGCAGTCAAGATATTATCCATAAATTGATATTTCATTTGATAAAAATTTGATGGAGTAGGCTTGTTAAAAGGGGTTTTCCAAAGAGGAACATAAGAATTAATTAATTGAATTTGGAAAATTAATATATTTGAAAATGAGTTCACTATTCTTAAAATAGTACTACTAACAAACACATTAGTATTGTAAAATTTTATATCTGTAGTATATAGAAAAGATTCCGTTTAAATTTTAAGGGTTGTCAAATGATGTTGAGTTCAATACTATCATCACCAAAATAATTTTCTTTACCAACTTTGTATCCCAATTGTAGAACTAAGGTTTGTCACTTGAATACCCTTAGGACAACATAGGTCCGCCCCTGTTTTTGCGGGTGGTCGAGGGAGTGTGCCGGCGGGATTTTACCGGAGAAGTGTGGGGCTCAGAGGCTGTTGGAAAAGGAAGAATCAGAGATAGGGAGAGAGAATTATATTTAGTGTAGGTTTAAATTAAAAAAAGGCAAGTAATAAATGTGGTGTATTTAATTCCCTATGTGTATTAATATGAGTGTTAAATTATATAAGTTGCTTTTAATACCAAGGGGGTGTCATTTTTCCAACCCCTTATAGGGTTAGCAAGCTAACCGATCCCGTATAGGTATACCCAAATATCTGTTTCCAGTTGCCCACCCATATTTATGATGCAACGTAGTTTTTTTCATGTTTAACATTAAGAATCATATTTTTTGCTATGGTGATATATTTTATTAATTAAAATTACGGGAACATAAGGGAGAAACTAAACAGTTTTAAGCATCCTGCATTTTTTTTAGTATCATGCTAGAGCAAAGCAGTGTTATGTGCGTCCAGCTTGTTTGATTACAAATTTACAATATAATAAATAGTCTCCCTAGGTGACGCTGCATCCAACAAAGCATAGTGAGTTAGTGACGCTGCATCGAAAAATTGTATGCGGTTTGCGATTAACCAGACAGCGAACTGTGAGCCACTGAAATTTTAAAGTTTTTTAGTTAGTTGGACTCGAATCTTATCGGTTGCCTACGTAACCGTAACACAGGATCAATGTCCACGTAGTTCGTTAAGTAACTTTGATATCTCAGTTAACCGTCGTTTATAACTAATAACCTACGGTTATCCGATAACCGGTTAACCGATATGCATAAGGCTCGATTGCCTATCGGAGGCGGAAGAAGGAGCGTCGGTTAGCTGAGTAACCGACGGAGGCTAACTGCGGTTAATCGGTTAACCAATAATAACCGGTAGCGACTAACCTATCTGCCAAAACGACATCGTTTTAAGATGAAAAAATCCCCAAAGTCGGGTGGACCGACGAAAACCCTATTCCCCTTCTTCCTCAATCTTCCATCGTCGACTTCTTCTCCCCCAGCCTCCCCTAGACGCCCAGACCCCCCACTGCCACCGGCCACCGCTCGGAAGCAGCCGTCCCCAGACTCCGTCAGACCCCACATCGCACCGCCGCCGCCTCAAGAAGGCGAGAGCAAGACAAGAAGGGGAGAACAGAGTCGTCAGCCACTCTGTTGCCCCCGCCGGCCTTCGCATCCTCCGCCCCCTCCTTTCAGGCGCCTCTCCGTGGCCCCTATCCGGCTGGCTATTCCTTCATCGATTGCCCCGTCCTCTCCGCCCCCTCCTCTCCCGCGGAGAAGCCGAGCAACCAAAACCAAAAAAGTAAGTCCCCCTTTTTGTTTTTGTAATTAAAATCATAATAATGTGAAATGTTATTTGCATTTGTGTTTTGTTGATTGTGATTTGTGATTCGATAATGTGATTGTGATCATGATTTG